GGCAACAATGTACATTATTGCCCGATGAAGGCTCGAGTAAAAGGGCCGAAAGGTCGCAAATAAAAGAAAAGTGTTTTTAGGTAGGGAATAATCCGTGTATAATTCAACTTATTAACTTACTCACGTCATGAGTCTTAAAAAATAATTGTTCCAGTCTTTTGAACTAATAGATAAAGATATATATTTCTCGTTTTAGTTAGACATCGTAATCAGTAAGACATCCTTGCTAATCAGATCAAAACTGATAGATCTGAGAACTCCTGACAAATGGACAACATTAGAAGATCTTAAAAGCATTTACCAACTTTGTCTCGAGAAGCCAAAGGTAAGCATTTCTATATATGCCTTTGGATCAACTGGTTATCTGTGTGTCTGAGGTATATGTTTAATTTCCTTGAAAAGTGTTAGTCCTAAGATTACGAACGTTAAACAGTTATGTTACATTTCACTGAAGTATTCTTATAATTTGTATTTAAAAATTATGAGTTAATTTCTGTGTTAAAAGCTTACCTAATAGCTGAGATTATTTTACTTTTAGTATTCATTAATTTGATGTAATTGTTTTTTATCTGCTCGTCTGTTTATCTACCTGTCTCGATACAATAAGTGTTACTATTATCAGTTTAATCGAATGTTTATAACTGATTAAAATATATATAGAACTGCTCTCGTTCTTTATGGATTTCAGGAAAATATATTTTATTGTGGCTTTTCGTTTTAGAAAAGCTGATAAGGGAAACACGTTTCGTGGTTTGACTCGAGTAAATGTGATTGTTAGTATCATATTGTTGCGTCAGCGAGGTCACGTGACTAGTGTCACGCCACGTTTCTAGAAATATCTTGTTCCTTCGTGAATGCCCTAGCATTTACTAGATATATGTTTGTCTGGTATATATATATAAGACGCTCACAACGTGAGAGGATAATGTGTGTAGGTAGTGAGTAATTGAACTGCAGTCAGAGAGTATTGTTGAAGTCCGTTATAGCGTTTGTTTTAGCGCGAATGTTGAAATCAAGTGTATCGTAAAGTTATATTCAGAAAGAATAAGCCAGTTTTATTAAGAAAGGACTTGTGTCGCTAAAGTTTCGTCGGAACGAAGTTACGGAAAATCAACTAACGACTGGAGGCGTAACAATATATTAACTTACTCTAATCCTGCCTAAAAGAATTTCAATTTGAGGGTAGGTTGGTAAAGGTCCTGATGAGTAATAAAATCGAATCGGGAATACACGCGCCCGACGCTTGGTATTTGCTGGTGCACAAAAACATAGCTAATAAAAAAGCAAAAATAAAAGGTCTCATGCATTAATTTACTCTAATCCTGCCTAAAATAATTTCAAGTGCTGTGGCTATTGAGGATTCCCTCTTGTGTACTTTTGTTGATGATTTTTATCAAGTGATTTTTGAATAGTATTTAATTTTTTTTAATGACGATTTTAAGGACTGGTTTTGGTAGTTTTCCATTTTAATACCCAAATGTAAAGGATACAGAAATAAAATATCTATATCTTGAAATTCAAATTTTTGATTTTTTTTTGTTAAGTCATTACGTTGGTATATGTTCACAATTTTTTTTTCCTTTCTCGTCACTAAAGCACATTAACATTTAGTTAAATTAATACTCACGATTAAATCTGTCTGTCGTAAACACTAAAATATTACATAAAAGCAGAAATATGCAAAAATAATGTGATTATACTCTCGACTTTCCCTCAATTAGACTTCTATGGTCATTTCGATAAAATATTAAATACAGTTGAAAGTTTTGAAATATAAGAGTGAACAGTATTTGCCCCATATATATATATATATACTGTACCTTATTTCATTATTAAAATGACCTACAGTTTGGGCTGGATATGATCTAGTAGTTAATGTCCCGCGGACGGAAGGCCCAAGATTCGAGTCTCCATATGGCTCTGAGCACGCTCCGCATTTTTAGCCTTGAGAGCGTTATAACTGTGACAGTCAATCCTGTTATTGGGTTAAAAGTAGCCTTATGAGCGTTTGGTACTGCTGACTAGTTTTCTCCTTCTGGTTAGCTATTCTAAATCAGGGATAGCTGTGCCTAAACCTAATGTTTTCTGACTTGGCTATTTATCTCTTGGGTCTCATAAGGTTCCGTTCACCTTGACATTACCAAGTGCTTCCTTAAATTGATAAATACTTTGAACACTTTCCTCCTAGTAAGTCGATAGATCAAGCAGGGCTAGAAAAGTGTTCACCAATGAGAAAGCAAACATGTATACGTTTCTGTAAAAGTAAACTCCTACATGTACTACCGCAGGGTTCACCGAAAGTGTTCTGTTTCAAGAGTAAATAAAACCAAAATTAAGAGTGTTTCATTCTTCTCGTGATTCATGGCATGCGCACGTTTGACCGACTTCACGACAGTAGAAATTGCAACGTTAAGCGTCGTCCCCTTATGTGACCTCATTTTAGTGTCTACTGACTAACTGACAGACAATACACTATTGTATAGTGGTGAGAGTGCTTATTTTCGGTTTATTACTGTAGCCTACGGGTATTTGTGATATTCGCAGAAATATCAGGTAAAGTGTTTTATAAAATACCCTAATTGCCAGAAACAGTTTAACTTCCATTCTATGTTCTATAAAATACCCTAATTGCCAGAAGCAGTTTAACTTCCATTTCATGTTCTATTAAATACCCTAATTGCCAAAAGCAGTTTAACTTCCATTTTATGTTCTATAAAATACCCTAATTGCCAGAAACAGTTTAACTTCCATTCTATGTTCTATAAAATACCCTA